CCCCCTCCCCCCGACGTTTACCCCCGCCACGAGGACGGAGGGGTAAAAGTTGAGCGAGTGAGGGGTGAGAACTTTTTTTAAAATCGGGAGCAGAAGGCCCCGCTCCAACAAACTCTCCTTGCTGTTTATTAGCTGGCACACCGGTGTGGGTTTCTCATTGGCACAGAGGGTTTATGATGGAGGCGGAGCTACTGATCCCCTGAGAGGCACGGCGGGGCGGGGGAGGGGGGCGGTGGATGAACAGGGTGGGCTGAAGAGAGTGTGGAGCAGTGTTATTCTTTCAGATCAGTAGCTTTGAGTCAAGTGGGTCGTAGTTTGAAGGGAAATAACGGAGCGTGCTCACTGGCTGCTGTCGGTGTTCTCCACCAATGAGAGGCCTTGTAGCGGCGGCTGGAGCGGCTCCCTTTTGTATGTCTTTGGTGGGAGTTTGGGGAGTTGCGGGCTGGAGTTGTGGCGCGGGGGGACGGGCGGGGCGGTGATGGGGACCGGTAGGGGGCAGAGGCTGTTCTGGCTGGCGCTGAGCGGGCAGCTCCGCCGGGGGACGCGGGGGGACGGCGTGCTGGGCGGGGTGTTGGGGGAGCTGGGCGAGCTGCCGAAGTCCCAGTGGTATCGGCCCACCGGGGAGGGCTGCAGGTTCAGGGGGTAGTTGATGAAGATCTCCGGGGGCCGCTGGGGCACCGGGGGAGGCGTGTCGGGGAGAGGGTCGCGGGGCGGTGGAGTAGGAGGGCTGGGCAGCGGGCCGTCGATGGGGGGTCCGTTGTAGACCGGCGGCCGGGGCTGGTTCCGGGGAACGGGAGGAGGCAGCCGGGGAGGGATGGCTGGAGGGTTGTCGGACTTGGAGCTCAGCTGGGACACAAAACGAGACACAAGAATTACAACACATGATAATAATAATGAGACGAAGAAGAAGAAGAAGAAGAAGAAGAAGAAGACGAAGAAGAAGAGCTTCATTGTCATCATACATGGGGGCATGATGAAAATATAAGTAGCTGCCTCTGGACGGCGCACTGAAACAGGCTAAATTAACAACAATAACTAATAAAATCAAATGTACATATAAAACAAGATTATTAAGAAGAAGAATTAGGAATGTCTCCATCAAGTATGTTTGGCTCCTGATTCTATCTGAGTTGAATATTTAGCATCTGCTGATATCAAATACTAAAACACTTCCTACATAATACTTACTTTTTTATTTTATTGTATCTTTTATGTCTCTTTACTTTATTACCTTTTTAGTCATTGTGTTTATGGGTTGCTATTTACAGTCGTCCTCAAATGTATTCCTACCCTCCCATTAAAGAAGGAAATAAACAGCTGTCATAAGTTGAAATTGACAAAAGTCATAAAAAATAAAAATTTAATGTAAATCATGACATTGCTTTTGAATTGTGGTTCAACAGAAATCTTAAAAAAACAAAACAAAACAGAAAACAAGCAAATGGGACCCGTAAACAAATATTTTGTTGAACAACTCTTTGAGCCAATCACTGCAGTCAAGTGTTTTCTGTAACTCTCAGTCAGACTTCTGCACCTGTTGACAGGTATTTTAATTTTGACTCACTGCTCATCAGCAAAGTGCTCTAATTTGTCTGGGACAGTTTTTTTTTTTTTTTTTTTAAATCATTCTTTTCAACCACAATTCAAAAACAATGTCTTATTTCACTAAAATATAACTTAGCAAATTTTTATTTATTATTACTTTTTTCAGTTTCTAGATATTTAAGGGACTATTGTGAATTTAGCCTTTTCTTTAATGGAAGGTTATGAATACATTTGAGGACGACTGTACGATTGTTCAGCACTTTGACTTGATTTGACTGTAAGTACTGCAGACCAGCTGTAGTACCCGGTTCCTCCACCAGGTGGAGCCTCTTACTGTTTGATACTGTCACTTAATACAGGCAGCTCAGCAGAGAGCATTGTGGGAGTTTAGCTGGTAAAGGAGAACTATGACAGAGACATCAATGAGGCTTAATGACCTCAGGTGTGTTAAAACAAGCTGGAAAAACACAGAACAACATGTCTACACCCCACCAGAACACATTCTATCCATGTTTGTGGCTCTTTTTGACACTTTAGAGTCACAACAAATGTAAAGAAAGAATCTGCTGTAGGTTTGCACGAATACAGATTAGTTAAAACTCCTGTGATCGAGCACAGGATATGAATAATAATAATAATATTAACAATAACATTATTTGTCAAGCAAAACAAAAACACTAAAATGTTAAACGGATAATAAACCGTTAAATAAATTCTAATTATTTGTGTAAAATTAAGAATTTACACTTACACCATGGAAAGTTATGTTTTTGTTTGTTTTTTTTAAAAACAGTTCGATCTCATCTTGTTGTTTGTGTTTTCTAATTTGGAAGAAGCTCAAATAAACTGAAAAAAAATCAGGTAGACAAACCAAGAAAGTTGGGAACCACTGGTTTCAACTCTCTGTAGATGCACTTCAAACACTGCAGGAGTGAAGTCTGAGATATCATGATAAAGTTAAAAAGAGGGATATCTTTATCAGGCTTCTTTCTAACAGAGTACATTTAAAACACCAGAGGTAACAACTTTAACTAATGACTGTGAAGCCTTTGGAGGAATTAGTGACACATCTCAAATACCAAAATACATCCCTACATTAAATCTTTACTCCTAGTTATCACTTCAAAAACCATCCTTGCACTATTAATATTTCCACAGGTGCTGTATGTTCGACTGTAGTGCATCAAACTGAGGTCAGGTTTTGTAATTATGTTTTGAATGGTGACAAACTGCTCTCACTTTAGCTTCAGACATGGCGTCTTTCCTTCGAGGCGGCAGAGGAGGCGGCTTCAGCTCCTCTCCGAGCTGGTGGAGGCTGCCGCAAGACACAGACTGGGACTCTGATGGAAAACACAAGCCGACAGATAAAAGGTCAACAGGATGAGTGACTACCCACTGCAATAAATGTAGAATAACGCTGAATTTAAGCAAAAAGAATCAATCAGGAACACAGAGCACAAAGACAAAACTCTACACTCACTTGAAGGCGGCAGGAGAATTGAAGCGAATATGGCGTTACCACCTGTAGAATGCAAACACACGGGAAACGAAGACGTCATTTCACAACAAGACACGTGCTTCACCGCCTCGGGTTTCTGAACAAAAGCACTAAAGCGATGCTGACGGCTAAAACAATCCATGATCGTTATTTTTTAACCACTTATAAGGTTCTACTCAAAATCTGAATCTGTTGCTTGGATAAACATTTTCGTCCACATACAAAGGGAATAACAACATATTATACATTTTAAATAGAACATTAGTCCATAAAAATGCAGATTCTTCTTTGCAGTAATAAATAACGACACGCCAAAGCATCAGCAGGTCAAACAAATGTCCACTTCTTGTTAAGAGACTGATTTCTACAATTTCTTGATATATTTAGGGTCATTCTACTTCAAATCAATTAACTTTAAGAACAGTCATTTTTTGTTATAGCATTAAATATGGATGATATTTGTACCATTTATTCTAAGAAAAAGTTTCAAGCAAATCAGCTTATCAAATGCACATGTGCCAAGAAAATAAACATGACTTCAAACTTGATGTGTGCAGAGATAGAACATGGGCTGAACTCACCGCCGTAGGAGCTGCTGAGGTCGTGCTCCATGAAGACTGAGCAGAGGTCGGAGGAGGCCGACTGCGGAGGCGTGGGCGTGTTCGGGGAGGTGGGCACAGAGGCCGACGCCGGCATCTCCGGCTCGGTCTCGGCGATGCTCCGGAAAGTGATCTTGTGTGGGGGCTCCCTCTCCAGGGGGACGGGGTGGCCCTTCAGGGTGCCCGAGGTAGACGTTCGTACAGGCCGGATCCCCGGAGATTTCAGATTGTAGCCGGTCTTCCTGGGCTGAAAGTGGAGAAGGGAGGTGATTCAGCTGTGGGGGATTTGTCACCGAAATCACTCATCACTTTACCGCACAAAGACTAATAGCTTTAAGAGTTAGTAGAGGAGACACTGCAGTGGATTAAATGAAAAAAAAATCAACTCAAGTGTCTTGTAGAATCACCTGATGTGACAAAAATAGCTTCTACATCAAAAGGGGAATCAGGTCCATACAGGGATAGGACTGGTTTTGGATCTTTTTCCTTGGATGTACCATAAATTCTGGACTATTACCTGAATATAAGCCGCACCCACTAACTTTAAAGAGAAAACGTTTTGTACACACAAAGATTTTTTTTAACTTTTAATAAAATACGTACCGGTAACATACACAAGTACCGTAAATGCTTTTTGTCCCAAACAGCGCCTGTAACACGGCTGGTTTAGAAAATAAAAACTACAGCGGCCTACCAGGAAAAGTCATTGATCTCTATCTTCATCTCCCTCCTGCACTAAAACCACTAAAGTCTTCAGTATCAGAACTGAACAGCCTCACAATTATTTGGTCACACACTTCCTCAGTCTGTCTTTCGTTGTCGCTCTCAATGTCACTTTCGTCTCGAGGCAAATTCATAAAACTCGTAAAAATCCATAAATTAGCCGCATCATCGTTTAAGCTGCCGTGTTCAAAGTGTGTGAAAAAAGTAGCGGCTTATAGTCCAGAAGTTACTTAAACCTGCAGTGAGGAGCTTCTGTCTCCTTCTGGCAGTGAGAATAAATAATCACACACATTGTAAGCAAAGCTTCTCTCACATAAACTTCACTTACATTGTACACTTCTTACAATTTCCTTTTTAATGAATTATTAATTAATCACTGAAAGTAGTTAAATACTACAGACATTTTTTCAAACGCTGATAAAACTGCTTATTTATATGTAGAAGTCTCACAGCTTTAAGACCAAAGAGCCCAATAAAAAGAGATCTATGGATTATTTAGCTTTACAAAGAGACATTGCATCTGGAAAGTTATGTTGCAGTTCATTTTTTACACAAATCCACCTTCATGTGGTAGAAATCTCCGTAACGAGAGAACATTTCTGCCCGTATCACTGACTGCACTGTAAATACAGGAACTAAATTCTGAACATTTCTCATTTTTTAACTATCCCTTTGAGCTTTTCACTGCAGCCTACTGAGGCTCCCAGGATCTGTTCCTTATTAAAGCTGCGACCAGCAGCAGAGAAAACATTCCTATCAATGGTCAAATTTACCATGGAAACAATACACTTTATTGTATATTTTATTTTTATGGTTTTGAATCACGATCAAAGGCCCGAGCGATGTTTTCTTCTCCGATCTGCAGTAAATGTGGATTTGGGGCTTAAACTGAGCAAACAGAAGTGGAACTAGAATAACAGCACGCATTTCTGCAATAAAAACTTTGCCGAACAGCGTAAACACTTACAAATCGGGGAGCCTGCTTGCAGTTCCGTGGCTCGATGTCCAGAGACATTTTGAACAGGTAGTCAGCAAACTCCTTCTCGCTCCTGTTACCCATCGGGTTCAGGTTCTCGAAGAACCTCTGAAAGAAAAACAAACATTTTGAGTTTTATTAGCTTGAAAAAAAAAAAAGCCTGAATACGCCAAACAGAAGTGATGGGAGGGAGCGCTCACCCTGATGTCGTGCTCCACCTTCAGACAGTAGGGCTGGTTCTGGTACTGCTGGATCTCTCCTGTGATTTCGGCCACTTTCCTCCTCTTGCTGAAGTTGATCAGCTCCTTGCCGTGGCGTCTGAGGAAGTCAGGGTTGCCCTCCTCTGTCTTCAGGATGTTGGTTAAATAGATACCTGAGCATGAAGAGGAATTAGATAACCCTGTGATGCTTCAATAGTTGGTGTCTGTTCAAAACATTTCACGACTGAAACAATCACCAAAACTGGTAAAAAGCTGCAGGAAATATAAAGGACTTAATGATGATAAATAACAGTGACTCACAAAAGGACCGGATCCAGACAAGACAGTTTTATATAAATATTTTTGTTGTCTCGTCATACTTGACTTGCACAGTAACGCTGCAGAAGACTTACCAAAGAAAGGCACACAGGGTGGGTTTATTGACTTGAGTTTAGCCAAGTATTTCTTAAAATGGTCCTGGCTCAGTTCCACAGCTTCTTCCAGGATTTTCTTTTTCCTCTCTGGTATTGCCTGCAGAGGAGACACACAGAGAGTCACACAGATGAGCTGCAGTTCGGCTTCAGATTGAGAAAGTCGCCAAGGGTCTATTTGTTAGCGGTAAAAGTAGACGTACTAATTGAGCTCAATCACGAAGCTGTTTCTGTTACGACCGACAAAACTTTTCCCACTAAAGCCATGAGGTCACAACAAACATCAAATGTTTCTCAGTTGCTAAGAGTTGCTATTTACAAGTTTCCAAAGTGCTTTTCTGTTTGAAAACTTAACCAAATCCAGTCTTACAACTGTGATATTTCATTAAAATTACTTTATTCTACATGTCTTATTTAAATGCCAACTATTTTCTGTAAATACTGCAAAAAAAAGAGAAAAAAATCTGCACTCTTTGGTGCAACAAAGGAGTCACCTGCGACTCAACTGTGACCAACAATCATGTGGAAAAAAATCAATCTGGGCTGAACTGCAGGCAGTGTTTGCACAGAGCAGAGAGGAGACAAGTATAGAAACAAACTAAAAATGTAAGTTGTATAATATCCATAGTATGTATGAGTCATGTTTTTTTTTTCAGAATCAGTAACACCTGGAGGTACTTACAAATTAAATTTTTGTAAAATAAATAATCAAAGAAATGTAAGTTCTGCAAAAAAATGCCCAGAATGCTCAGGGTTCAGAGCGTCAACATGAGTGTAAGGAAAGATGAAAACTAAATAAAGTCTAAAAATGTTTATCGGACCGAGCCTTCTGTTACTACTATCAAGTCAAATGATATATTTTTTGCTCCACCAGTTGTAAAAATCTACAAACAGCACAAATGTTGATATATGTTCATCTATTTAATGCCTCTGTTTTCCTGTGTGACCAGCTGTGGACTGTCTGGAGCGATGCTAGCGTAGCTCTTCTGTCTTCATGGTTTCCTCAATGCCACTGCTGCATGTATTCTCATTTCTGCTCCAGATGATTCTTCCTCTGAAATCTTGACTCACCTCGAAGGTGTGGTCGAGCCTGTAGACTGGGACAGAGTTGATGGCGCTGACCACCTCCAGCACGCCGTTGAAGTTGTTGAGCTCCTGGAAAACCTGCAGAATCTCGATGACGCGCGACAGCACGGCCACCCTCTCCTCCAGGTTCATCGTCTCGACAATACACCTGGAGGATACAGACGCAGAACAGTTAGATGTATCATCTTTAAGATTACTTAAACTGACGTTTTTGTGGACGGAGGGACTCACTTCTCGAACCACAGCGTGAGGTTGGTGGTGTGGCGGATCATGCGGAGCAAGTTTGGCGAGTTCTTCTCTTTGTCCTCTTTGGTCCAGACGCTGCCGACGAGCTCAGACGGCCTCACAGCTCTGGAAACAAAGCGGGTTTGCATCTTATTCACATGTTTCTGTAACTAAACTACACACAGATTTAGATTTGAACCCCTCCACAGAAACCTACCTGTAGAGCTCAGACTCGAGGAGCGTCAGCTGGCGGGCGATCTCGATGGGGTGAAGGGTCATGAGGTCGAACGACTCCACCTGTCCGGCTCTGCAGATGTGCCACTCGATGGGAGGAGGCGAGCTCTCGAAGGTGATGTTGTGACTGACGCCGTTGGACTGAGTCTGCAGCTTCCTCCTGATGATCTTGTTGATGGACTCCACCCACTTTCTCATGGACTTTCCTAAAACAAAACAAAAAGTAAACATGGGAGATGAAGCATTTATTTAAACTTGGAATATACACTGAAGTATAGAGGTCTTATTGAGAAAGCAGCTGAGTGAGAAAAGAAAAGATAACTTGGATAAAAACGCAAACAGGCAAAGTTGTTGAAATGATAAACACATCAGAGCATTTAAACGAATGAATCAACCGAAACGAGAGCAGCTGGAGGTTAAATAAGATGAAATCAGAAGCCTGAATTGCCCCGAGGACAAACATGAGTCAGGCTTTAAACTGTTCTACATGTTATTCCTGGTTGCAGGTGCACAGTGAGTAAAACTGGATTTTCCAAGCTCAGTGGAAACAGCCGCCACCTGCAGCGTAACCAAATCATTTGAGCGTGTTCAGTAAGAGCCGGCATTAAAAAGGCAGAAACTAAGTAACGTAAGAGGGTAAAAAAAAAACAACTGCGGGCTTTAATAATAAAACAGGTTTGGGTTACATCAAAGCTTTACTTTATCAGACACTCAAAAACACTGCTGTTGAAAACCTACATTAGGAGCACGAAACCAACAAACAGTAAAGTAGCTTCTTAACTTATGCGACTCGTATGTTATTCTGTCAAAGCATTGTGTGCAGTTGGACAGAATTGCGGATCAGCGTCTCTGTATTCCATATATGCACACTGCTGCCTTCGTAACACGGCCACAACAACTTAGACGGTACATGGACATCCACACAGAGCCTCACGTCCACCAGTTGATCATGAAGATTGACCCTAATGGCCCCTTTTGTACTTGCAGAAGTTTATCACCAGCATCATACAACCACCTCCTATATACACTTAAGTTGAATTAATGGAGCAACTTTAGCGTCTATATATCTACAAAACAATAAATTCCTGGTTGGTGTTCAATGCTTTATGTGGGTTTCGTGTATGTACATTCCAGATTTGTTTATCTCAGTGTTTGTACAAGAGAGTCAGGCTGCAACTAAAGATGATTTTTATTATCAATTAATCTGTTTTCTTATTTTCTCCATTAATGAATTAGTTGGTTGATTTATAAAAGACCAGAAAATTGTGAAAAATGTCACAAGATCCACTCCAAAATATTCCGTTTACTGTCACAGAAGAGTAAAGAAACCAGAGACGATTCGAATCAAAAAGCCAGAAATGGAGATTTTTTCTTATCTTTTCTTTAAAAAAATGACTTAAACCTTTTAATTTGTGATCAAAAAAGCTGGCAAATAATATAATAGTTGGCAACTAATTGATTAAACGCAGTTCGAGAGTGAATGAAGGTGGCATTTTCCCTGATTAAGACCCAGGAAAGTCAAACTTTGCCTTTTTTGTGGTACAATAAAATCTCTATATATCTTTTCCTCCATGTGGGTAAGATGCATTTTTAAAGACGCCAGATCAATCATGAAACAAAAATGTGATCAAACTGAATCTAAGCATTACGAAAAAGCGTCATTCATGCAGGTTGATGCCACAGGTTTCCCACTTTAAAGTCACCAGATGACAAAATAATCTTCAAAAAGAGCTTTTAGTGAAGTTTACTTCAGTTAAAGAAGAGATAAGAGGATGTGAACGACAAAGTAAAATGTCTGTGTTTAGAGAACTGACCTCGCAGTTGGATTTTGCTGGTGATGTATTCCTCGAGTCGATTTCTCAGCTCTGGGTCGTTCTCAAAGTCGTAGAAATGATGTTCGACCCACTGACGGAAAACGTTAAGAACCCTGTGAGGAAAAGATAACACTGATTAGTTATTCAGCTATACATCAAACTTTTTTTTTTTCTGAAGTGGCTGCATACTTTTAATTTGTATGTCAACAAATCAACATAACTGATTTATCAAGTTGCCTGGTTGCTTAAAGGTCCTAACTGAAGAGCTTTTGGCTGGTGATCATTGTTTTTTTTTTTGTTTTTTTTTAAAGAGGAGACAACTAAAAATAGAAGCAGAAGAGATGTTTTGTGTTTTCAAGGGTTAAAGTCACATGTGAAGAGATATTTTCACCCACTTTGAGCATCCTGGTTTTAAAATAAACAGTAGGCCCACATAAAAAAGCTGACTTATTAATAGACCACCCAAAGTTTATTCCCAAATCTTTTCTTGAACACAATCAGGATTCTTTTTTTATTTTTTTTTTTTTTGTTTAAGGCAATGAAGTGAACAAACTTCGCTCACTTCAGTTTGTCACGTGAGCTCACTGCCATCTTTTAGTGTTTCTCTGTTTGTGTTTAAGATTTCTACATCAGCTGCCCTTCATCCGACTGATATCGAGAAGCTCTCAGTTTTTAATGGTACCAACTAGACTCCAGCTCAGTTATTCCTTCTAAGGATATCAAGTCCAGTACTAGAAGTAATTATGCGGCCGTCTGAGAAAATATAGGATTTAACAAAACACCGAAAAAGAGCCAAACAACCACAATGGGACACAGAGTGACACAAAATCATTACTGGTATGTTGAAAGGCAATTATTTAGGAAATAAAAGAAAGCAGAATAAACTTTATACTTTGCGTCTACAAGCTTAGAGACTCAAGGGAAGACATTTTAGGAATTCTTCTTCAAAAATATAAATAAGTAATGGCCCAATTCCAGCTCAGTGTGAAGTGTAAATGTTGGATTTTAGACCAACATTTGGTAATTCAATTTATGTTCATCTGAAAAATAATGGAAAAGGTACAAAACTTCATCAAATGTTATGCTTAACAATGTCTTTAGTTTAATACGACGTTCTATTTTGACAAATTTTAGCAAAAGAAACAAGCTACAACCAATATGAAAACAAAAATTACATCTGTTCAAAGACAAGTTTTGTTTTTATCACATCCTACTAATCCTAAACAGTGAGAAGAAATCAAAAATGCAGACAAAATTCAGATTCAGATTCATGTTAAATCCACTCATCTCGTGCACTTATTCAACTTTTGGCTCTTGATAAAACCTCTTTAATGTATCTTTTTTAAATATTGAAGCTTTCTAAACAACATACATTGAGCAGCTTCCTTAAATGCAACTTTCTTCTGAACCACGAAAAGAGACAAATTTAGAAATTATTTACGCTTTTGTGGTTTGTGCAGAATTCCTTGAATTTTTGGGGGGGAATTCACTCCAACCCTTGTGGATGTTTCTCCCTCGAATGTACATTATTTGCACAGAGCTGCAGACAGAATAAGCTCTGATGGCGGCGGACGTCGTACCTGAGTTGAACCGGCTGAACGTATTCCTTCCGGAACCTCTGGAGCTCGGCCGCCATCGGCTGATCGCCGTTCCAGAGAGCCTGTCGGTCCTCCTCAGTCGGTTCTGGCTCTGGGATCTCAATCCTGAGGAAAGTAATGATTGGACAGATGAAAAATCAAGACGTCAGAGATAGAAAAGATACATCCACACCAGGCAACGACACATTGAAGACCTGCAGGATGTGGAGGGAACAGATCTGTACCTGTCTATCAGCAGGGTGAGCAGCTCCGGTGGTTTGCAGAACGATCGGTACGTGGTAAGAAATGTGCGCACAAAGTTGGGATCTAGGAACACATAAGACAAGTTAGATGACAAATACCACAACGTAAGAAATAAACATTAGAGCAGCAGATGAAACGGAGGTATTTCTGTCCCCGTGCGGAGCGACAGCAGCAACTCACCAGCATACATGTGGTAGGTGAGCCTCTCTATGAGCTTGACCACGGTGCCGGCCTTGATGATGGGGATTCCCGTTTTGCTTTGCACTTTGTCCTCGAACACTATATTCTCCTCTGAGTCCTGCACAGCAAAACGGTAAACCTCCGGGGAGGGCAGTCTTAGAGGATGCGCCTGCTCCTCGTGCTGCAGCACCGTGTCCAACATGCGATCCAGAGTGGAGCGGTACTGCAGGGTCACCAGCGCCGCCATCCACGCCGCCTTCTCCTCCGCTGTCCGTGCGCAGAAAACCGCACAGTTCTCATCTTTGCCCGTCAGTTCAAAGGCGTGCCGCAGCTCCGCCGAGTCCTCGCGGTCCCCGATGCGGATCTTCCTCAGCACGAACTTCTCCTTCAGGCGGTACTCGGCCCCGCTGCCCGACCCCGGCAGCCGGGAGCTCTGGTTGGCCTTGCAGCTGATCATGAGGCCGTCGAACAGGAAGTTGTGTCTCTCGTGCTTGGCGCCGGCTCGCAGCAGCGGCCCCTCCAGGATGAACTCGCTGCAGCACTGGCCGATGTCCTTCCCCTCCCAGCCGTCGATGCTTTTCTGGATCTCATTCATGCGTTTGATGGCTAGTTGTTTGCTACGGACCTGCCTGCTGTACAGGCGGTACATGGGCTCACTGTGGGGGAGGAGAGAAGATTGGTCAGAGAACAGTAAAGGTCCGAGCATAAGTTAAAACCTCAGAACCCCAATCGAGGATCCGCCAACACGTAGTGTGCCTTCTTGCTGCTGTCATCTGTCTTTGGACCTCCCTTACTTCGTTTTCATTTAATTATTCAAGTAATGTATGGCTGCATTTATATATGTATATTTTGATGTAAAATTTCATTGTATTATTTTTTTTTCTTGTTTGTTTGTTGTCATTAAATGTCACCCATTCTGTCACCTTAATGCATTTATTTATCTTTTATTTATCTTTTTATTATTTTGAAATTTTACTTCATTTCATATGTATGTGTGTCTGCATATGTATGCGTTTCTATATGTATATGTGTATGTATGTATATATGTATGTGTATTTAATTTCTTTAAATTTTATATGTATATGTATATATATTTTATTTATTTATTTTTTTCCTTACTAGATGGGGTGTCTAAAGGACCAGAGTGGATTGGGTAGATGATCTGAGATAGCAGGGATGGGTTTTTGGGTCCGTGGTGAGGGACTATCGCGAGCTCAATAAAGCCATTTTATTTTGGATGGTGATATATTTTCTTTTATATCTGTATGTATCCACTTCTTTTTCTGTACGTATTTTCGTGAATGCAGAACACTTGTTTGTTAAGTAAGTGAAAAAAAAAAAATTTTTCAATAAATTCTATTTAAAAAACAAAAAACAAACAAAAAAACCCCCTCAGAACCCCAGAACCCGTCAGTGGGCTGAAAAAACATGGTACTTTTTTAAAAAACTGTCAGCTTTAGTCCGTTTTCAGAGCCAGAAACTGTAAAAACAAACGCTCCTTAAACTACTCATCTGTGAGGAGCAACTGACCAAAGAAAAGGACAAAGGACTCAACTGAACAAATCGAAGGTTATAATGGTGATAGTTCATCAAAACTACTTTATTCTACGTGTCTTGTTTAAAAATTCATCAAAAATAAGGCATTTGCAGGAACCACATTCTGTAGAAAACTAAATATTCTACTCAGAGCAACTATGAAGACTTTAGTGACTCAGCTGTTACCGACACAAACATGACAAAAATTTCCGATCTTTTTGGCTAAATTCAGCTGAACTGCAGGCTGTGTTTACACAAAGCAAACCATTAAAAGTGTATTTAGTCAACTGTCCATGAATCATCATTTTTTTTCCAGTATGGGTGAAACCTGTGGGTACTTGAAAAATGTCTCCATGTTATTTCCAGGTTTTTTAAGTTTTTGTAAAACGTATATTTAAAGACATTCAACTTTTCTTTGTATGATTCGTGGCTTTACAACTTTGTCAAACTGCAGCAAAGACACTGAGTGATTAGAAAGTGCAGGACTTTATATTTCAGTAAAAAAAAAAATACAGTGAGTAAAAATGAGACAGAAGTAAAACAAACACCAAGAAACTGCAGGTTTAGAGGGTTAAACCACAGAAAAATCAACAGATGAAGTGGGTCTGAACCGCTGGATGCTTATTTTGAAAAATAAATAGCTGCTATTTGGTCAGTAAGAAAAAAAAACAGAGTGACAAATTAAATATTTCTTATAAATACAGCATCATACTGTACAAGGGGGCCTTACCCAGGTTTGCGGCGAGGCTGGTGCTTGGCATAGATGCGCTCTACGCTACATTGAAGGTTAAGCAGAGCTGTGATCGCCTGTTTCAGACATTCTCTGTCGTCTTGGTCTTCACTGCGCTCCTGAAGTTGCTGCAAGAGTTCAACAAATACTGCAGATTTAATACCACATCTTATAATACCGAAGCCTTTTGTCAAAGCAGGACGGACAAAAATATAGATGCTAGCATTAATCATGACTAAAATACATTTAGATGTGCTACTATAATGCATGAAAGTCCTGGGGGACACTTAATGGAACCGAGTAACCCTTTGTTATTAGTTTAACCTGTTTATACTAAAATATGCGCCATGTTAAAGGTCTACAGAAAAGATGTCTTTCAATAATACCAGCATACATTTCTACCAAAACACACAAGAAGCGACGCTGTTGAAGGTTATGTAACCAAACCAGAACCTAAGTTTACTGTTAATCCTATTGTAGAAGCTCAACTAGAAGCTAACGGTTTGAGATAAAACCTATAGAATAACACTTACAGAACGTATATATCTAGTACATTCATCATTAATGACAAACCTGGGTTATTTTAATTAAGAATAAACCCCCAGAATGAGTGATCAGACAAATTATTGACCGGGACGTACCTGAAGTAGCTCAAAGTAGTGCATACAGTGGTACACTGGGACCATCATCAGTTGGGGAAGGACGTACTGGACAGCTTCTTTAAAGCCCTCTGCAACTGACTGGAGACACAAAGACACACAAGAGCCGTTAGCGATGGACCAGTAGGGTGACTAGAGCTGGGCCACATCATACCCTGCACGGTCATACCAATGTAATGTCAGGGGATGATATGAAATTGAAATATTGCGCTAAAATTTGAGTAAAATGTGCATGGAGGCAACCGAGGAGGAGGGTGAATGCAGTGCATGGACCGACACAGTAGGGCTGGACCCGAGTATCGGAATATTCGGTTGTTGTGGTGGTGTCCAGATAGCAATTCTGAGATCCGACTATTCGCCTGCCACCCGCCGCTACCCACCCCAAAAACAGCTGCTTGCTAAATGGAAAAGAAATTGTTCTTTTTTAATTTTGTTTTTTATTTGCACCAATAAAGTTGTGCAGATTTGAAGTATTTTGTCTCGCGTCAATTATATTGTCAGTTATATCGTTATCGCAAATTTTCTCATGTATATTGTGATATATATTTTTAGCCATATCACCCGGCCCTAATGGGGACATAAAAAATAGATTTGAACAACTAGGATGCCATTTGCACACATAAAGTCGCTTTACTAAAAATCCAAACCAATAAAAACGTGTCACAGAGTCACTGGTTTTCGCTGCTAAAAAAAAAAATCATATGAGAGTTTTTTCTGCGTATAGCATTTTTTTTGCCAGGTTAGCCAGTACCGAGGGAAAATTCACCAGCAATGAAATTATATGAAATATATTTTAACCATTTTTTTAAATTTAGGTTAAATTTCATCAGCATAGAAGATATTCTTGTTTAGCAAAGGGTCTGAGATAGCAGGAAAAGGAAACGTCAAATGAGGTAACAATACAGGGACTGATATTATTGATGTGCACAGTCACCCTCCAAAGGCTTATTTTAAACCAGGAAAAACCCTGAAGAAACACATAGCTTCAAAAAAATACCCACTAGCATACAAGCTACAAACAAAAGGTAACGTTCATTATCACATCCAAATAAATGTTTTGTTTTCCAGTGATTTAAGCTCCTCAATAAGTTGTTGTTGGACGCTGTAGCAGAAACTGTCTAAATGTTTGCAGTTTTATTCACTACCGCAACACAATTGAGAAAAATGTGACCGTAAAGGAGAATTTTGAATCAAAAAAAGGGTAATTTCTCTGTAAATATACTGTAGAAAAAAAATCACAAATGCTGGAAAGCAAAGGCCGAGACAGTTAACACGTGTGTGTGTGTGTGTTTCAGTGTATAAATGTGAAATCGGATCAGACGAGAGGCTGCAGGGTGACGAGTCATGACGAGAGGGAGGAAGAGGCAGTTGACCGAGTGAGGCAGCAGGGTAACCGGAGAGCAGGCCGTCATAGTATCCATTTAAATCTCCTGCTCCCCTGATAGACGACTCAGAATCGATAAGCGAGTACTCAGACTCCACAGCAGCGGCCACAGTGTCTGCGTGGAGGGAGGAAGAGGGTCGTGTGCACCGAAGGGAAAGACATGAGCCGCCTGACAAACGGTGACGGACGGCCGGCGAACAACGAGCATCCTGCGGGTTTACTATATGTTAAGTAGACGAGGAGCAGGACTGGTGTTTAAAACACAGGCTCCTGTGCAGCATCGTTACGTCTCAAATCATCAGGGCCTTCTGCTCACACAGCTCTGATCTGCTCCAAATTTGTTTATCACAAACTACGGATATTTAAAAATCTGAAAATTTTAGAGTGAAATATTGAGTATTTTCGGAGATGAAAATATTTGTAAAAATTACACGGAGACCCACTTTCAGCACATTTTTTCATACTATTTTTGGATAACAATACTATAATAACACTAAATGATAATATAATAAAAACACAGCTTTGTGAAGTGGACATCATTTGCAGTTTTGTCTTGTTCTTTAAGATTAACATGCAAACTAACCCTGTTTTGTTGGTGATTTTAGTAGTTATTTTCTGTAATTGAACAAAATATTCCATCTTAAATCATCACATTTTTAGAAGTTCTGCTCCAGCATGTCTGATTTCTAAACTTTTTTTTCCCCCCAATTTTTATCATTAACTATTAATATATATAAAGAAATTAGTGAAATTTTACATTTATACATCAAATATTTTTGTGGGAAAAAATGCATTTTGGTGAATTGTCAGTGGTGTTTTTTTACACATTGAAATTTAAGGTTACAGTATATTTGAACTGCAATATCTCAGGAATTATTAACGACAAAGGTTGTTTATCATCATGAAACTGATTCAGATTCTATAATATTGGACAAGTAGATGAATTAATTTTGGCTTATGAGTGAGTTAAAATATGAAAAAACTGACATAACAATGAAAATCTTTCAATACATGCTGAGATTTTGTCGTCCAAACATAGTCTCACATTCTAATTTGTGACAAAATGTGCTCTAAGTGGATCCACTGGCTCAGGAAGTATTTTATATATCACGTTAACATTTTAACAAATAGCTTTCTAAATGTACAGATTTGATGCTATAAAATTTTCAGGCAAATCGAACAGAAATTATTCTCAAAATATGATAATCTGAAATAAAACATCCCTCCTCATACGATCACCAGCAAAAACCAGGCTGACAACATGCTTTGATTTATGTCACCGTGCTGATGATCCTCACTGTGATATTTAATGTTCTGCTGATGAGTACATAACTAATAACTAAAGCTGATGATACACCGGTGTATTCAGAAACCTGCATCAAGTGTTTACACATCCAAGAGCTACAACATCGAACTACCAAAAACTCCAGTCATAAATAGAAAACTCATGCATGTAAGCAAACTCTGATGCAAGTTTTCACAGCAGCAGCAGCAGCCCCACGTGAAACATGAATGGTGGCTTTCTATCCACTTGAAATATCAGACTAATGCGACCAATCAACTTAAATATGTGCTACTTGTACGTCTCAACTCTGAGTGGATCATTTAAACCCAGCGGCTACTTTTCCTCTCCAGGAGAATGCATCATTGTGGCAGCAGCCTAAATATAAACACAAAGCAGCAGAAATAGGGTACACAGCGACGATGAGACAGCATGTTCCCATCTCAGAGGTACAGGGGCCGCCTAAAGTCATGTCGCGGTCTTTTTGCCGTCTTAATTCGCAGCTTATTCTCAACATGAAATGTGCCTCGGGCCAGCCGCCCCCTTCCTCCTCCTCCTCCTCCTCCCCAGGAGAAAAATGGCCCGCAGTGTGGCTGCCTGTTCTATTTTTAAAAGGCGATGTAATTTACCCACAATACCAGACGCTGCAGAGTGCAGCGGCTGAGTGCTCGACAGACACATCTATCTGACGGGGAGGAGGGAGGCACAAAGTCAAGAAGGATGGAAAGATGAAGCACATGCAAACAGACAAAAGCTGAGGAGGATGAGGAGGATGATGATGAGGAGCATACAGGTTGGATCTCCACTAGAGAAGGACACGTTCACACCAGGTGCAAGTGTCCAGGTGATGTTCTTGTTGTACAAAGAAGGCGGAGATGATGAGATGGAGAGTCAGTTTGTGAAGATGATCTGAACACACACATCTCTGCATTCACACACTCAAGGAGAACTGATGTCGAATATCACCTTTGACCAGATTCTATAACAAACAACCTCTTTAATTTAATCTACATTTACAGAATCTAGATTTATATTTTGCACCTTCTTCTCATATGCATCTTGTATTTATACACTCCATGTTTACATACGTTTAGATACATCCTTGTACTTTCTGCACTATTTTAAGTCACTATATTTCCATATATATTAAGCAATGTGTGAATATCCAGAAGTTCAACATCAGTTATGCTGCTATTTTTATAGTTCTTAATACATTAAATAGACTATCCTTATCACTGCTTCACAGGTTACACTATTACACGCTACATTTCCACTAGATTTTTATAATTTCCCATTTCTTACTGTAGTTAAAAACATATTGTCTATTTTTGTGAACGCACTGCTGCTTTATTTCGTTGTCGTCGTACATTAAGTGACTCTGCTGTTATTGTGATTAACAAGTCATGGTTTATATAAAGCGATTGCTCTCTAATGTTCAGATTTTCTTTGTTTTGCATGATAACTTTGAGTTTTTCACATTTTCAAACTGTAAAAAAACCCACACCTGTCAACACTGGGGTGTTTGTTGGACTGTTAGTGAACAAAACAAGCCATTTTCAGAGCTACCCTGGGGTAGTTCACTATGAAAAATTAAACACTGATATCATCTTAATAACAGACACATAAGGAACTTTTAAGGAGCCCAAAGCCTTTAAATGTGTGGTTTTGTCTTAGCAGCTACTAAAAACTGATTCTCACAAAAAAGAAACAGAGCAAATCTTCACAGGAAATCAGCTAATGTTTGGCATTTACACAAAAACAGCTGATGTGGTTGTCTACATAGTTTCTATTGATTGATTGATCAGCTTTAACATTAAGGCAGCACTTAATTATTTTCATTGTTAAATAATCTGCCACATATTTCCTTGTTTAACCCTTTTTATCAATAAAATGTCACTAAAATATTCCGTTTATTTCCACACAGCTCAGAAAATGGCAGCTCCTCATCATAAGGAAGCTGAAACTGGACACAAATTTTAAAAAATGAATTGAATCCAAAACATTTTGTGTTGATTGAATGACTGATTATTAAACTAACACTTGAGGATGCTGATCTCTACTTGCTACCCCTGAAACAAAACAAGGTGTTTCAAATGACTACTGTGTTATCAATATAGTGCAAAAATAACGCTGTATTTTTAACTCCGGTGCCCTTTCTCCCGCTCTCGTACAATGAGTTTATGAAAACAAGTGCTGGGTGTGGGTAATCAGAGGACAGTGTTGATCTAAGTGGGGTTACAGTGGTGGTTGGAGGGTAAACACAGCGAGGCCTCAACCTGAGCTGGAAATCGACTGTTGTTGACTTTCCTCAGCACCAGCAGAGTCAGAAGACACACAGGAGGCTTCTGGGTAGTTCATCTAATACAAGTCTTCATTTTAATTGAACAAAATTGGGCGTTTTTGTGCAAAATCTTGAGATAAAGAGCAGAAAATCAGCCCCCTCCTCTGTAAATACTGTTGCGTTTAGCTCGGAGCTCTGCCGCCGCCGCCGCTTCATGTGAAGTCGGCCTTCGGTCTTTGGCCTGAGAAAACACCAGCAAATATTTCATCTTCAAAGGCTGCCAAACTGCACCCCACCGAGCATAATTCAATGCTATTCTTGTGAGGAATGTCCAAATAAAACAATGCGGCAGCAGTGAATAAACTGTACACAGGACGCTGAATATGTCATGACAGGCCCTCAGACGATATTTGGAGGAATTCCACTGGACGCTCAGGTTAACATCAAAGCAGCACCGGAACAAATACTGAAACGCTGTTTGCTGGGTGTTAACACATAAATGACCTGCATGTTCCTTCATATTTAAAACAAACCTTTTTTTGTTCTTTTACATTTTTATGACATTTTTGGGGGGGGGTTTCTAAGAAAGCTCACACTGGAGAAGGACAGGAAAGATGTGATGGTGAGATATCACAGCTGTAACGGTTACGAATATTAAAACCCAACAGGGTTATTAAATGTGTAAAATTATTCGGATTCAAACTCACAGGAAGTAAAGAACACGAGGAGCAAAACATGTTTTAAAGCTACAGAGACCGCGAGAGCTGACGCGTCCAAATAAGTGAAGCATCTCGCCGACAGACTTGTAAAAAGAATTCAAAGAGCAACCAGCTAGCGAATGTAAAAGATGATATAAATCAAACTTCTTTCACCGTCAGAGTTTGACAAGATAATTAGCTATGAGCAATGACAACTGTTAAACTCAGCTTTATCTGTTGAGTTAACAATATGCAAACTAAGCCTTCATGCTGCTGACGTGAACTTTGTCGTAGTTCGTAAGCTGCTAAAAGTCAGGCGTGTGCAGCTCAACAACTCCTACAATGTTCATTTAAACTCAGTCTGTACTGATAAGTGTTGAGACATTTTTGTCAATAACTATTAGAATGTTCAAAATGTACAAAATGCGTTCAGCAGAATGCAGACCTGCTAACATTATGTGATCAGCCTATTAAGCAATGTTTAACGAGTGATTTTTGTTTGGAAATATGAAGTTAAATATAAAATAAATGATGTATATTGGACATTAGATTACTGTATATAATGCAAAAGCTTTAACAATGCTGTGACCCATTTCGCTTCTACATATGAGAACGTAAGGAAGCAGGCATGCTCAGAATCGTGACACCATCACCAAGTAACTAAAAACATCAGGGTTTTTTAAAGATGAAAATTCCACATTTTTGTCATTTTTTTTGTTAAACGTGTCGAATTCTGCACGATAACAATCCTAAAAGCAGCAAGTTTGATGAAAGCTTTAGCTCTTGAAGGGTGAAAATTTGGAAAATCATCTTTTTTTTCTCATTTAATTTCTGTACATCATGTTATTTTCTATTCAGGACGAGCTCCGATCAAACATCTCACCTGAAAGTAGAGGCCAACCGTTGGTCGCGCCATCAGGTTGTTGAAGTGCTCATGAAAATCCCTGTTGAGGATGTCCTGGGACAAGGTCTCGTAGGGGTCGAACGCCTGCTCCTAAACACACAGGAATCATCCAAGAGTTAATGTTGACATAATATTGTTGATGGTGCTCAGATGATTACTTTTAGAAATCTGTGTCACTTAGACTCAAAAGAAAGAATCTGATTTTTTTTTGTAAATTCTTGTCAAAAAAGTGAAATTAAATTGACCATGATTCAATGTTGAAAGGCAATAAAAGAGGAAATCTTCCAATGACGGTGAACAGGTGCTATATGATGATATTTCTACCAGCTGAGAAATCATGAGGAGTTTACAAAATGCATGAAGAAGTCAAAATAGCACCAGAATTCCCCTGTAGCTCACACAAATGAAGGTACGCTCTCACGAGAAGGTGATTCTGAAACCTGAACCAAACAGTCGCATGACAAGAACCACCACCAGCTTTAATTTTAGTTTTCTGTTCTGTTTTTTGGTTTGTTCAGACGTCTTGGGTCAGTTCTGTGACCACGTTTCAGTCGAGCTGCTACCAAAATTTGTTCAGAAGTGAAACTGATCGCGCCACAAGTTTGTCTTAATCGAACTAAACTTGTCGCACGTAGACTGACTTGACTTGTTGGTCGTTATCCAACTGTTCGATTATTTCACACTTTGGAAGTACAACATTTCTTGTAGAAATTAACGAGCAGGCATCTCAAATAAAAAGTCCATAATACGTGATAATAAATGCTATTTGTTCTTTCTCTGATTGGTGGTAAGGACCTCATGAACAATTCATACGGACTTATTCATGCTGATTTATGTCACATATCAGCTCATGTGATTTAGCTGTTTTTTTTTTTCCCCACCAACTTCACAAACTAAACAACTGTATCACATCTACACTTCTTTCCTACACTCAATGATTTGACCTTCTAATAATCTAAGTCATACGAAGTCAGAAAAATTTGCCAGTCTGGTTTTTTAAGTGACAACTGCTTCGTACCTCTGCGAGATCTTCAAAGCAGCTGCCCACCAGCGGATGAGGGCTGCCGTCGGCCGTCATCTCCACGGCGTCCTCGATCAGTCCGAGCAGCTTCACCGTCAGCTCGTGGATGTCCAGGATGTTGCTGAAGATCACCTCCACGTCCTGCAACGGCCAGAAAACATGGATGAGCGATGCAAACTGGTGTTTACAGTGCTGGCAGCGGGGTAAAGGATGAGGGCTGCTTCCTTTAAAAGTCACCCTTTTTGCCTTCTGCAGCTTTTAAGGTGTAACGTAAAGAATTGAGCTGCTTATTACGAACAAGCAGATTAACAACAACCAGATTATGAACTCTCATTCGGGTCTACACTCCCTCCCGCTCGACCAACAAAAGCCGCCTGATACAACCACCACAACAAGGCCAGAGGTCGATAGCTAGACTCTTCTCCTCTGTGGTTCCCCAGTGGTGGAACGAGCTACCAAACTCTGTTCAATCTGTAGACTCCCGCTCAGTCTTTAAGAAAAGACTGAAGACCCAGATCTTCACTGAACACCTTTGCACTTGACAGACTGAAAACAAACAACAATAAAATAAAATAAAATTTCCTTTTACCTCCCACACAGCCTGCTGTTGGCATCAACGTCCTGTCACACTTGAACTTGTTCTGTGGCACTTATCTAGATTGTTCTCTCCTGACTAGGTCCTTGCTTGTGTTGTATCTGCTCTCAGATGTACGTCTCTTTGGACAAAAGCGTCTGCTAAATGAAACTGTACAATTGTAGATGACAGTGTGAAATCAGAGAACGAGAACGCTCCACGCAGGTGGTCAGTATTCAAAGTTTGGTGCCGTCTAGTTGGAGCGTTTGGACTGATATTCCAGNATTTCTACCAGCTGAGAAATCATGAGGAGTTTACAAAATGCATGAAGAAGTCAAAATAGCACCAGAATTCCCCTGTAGCTCACACAAATGAAGGTACGCTCTCACGAGAAGGTGATTCTGAAACCTGAACCAAACAGTCGCATGACAAGAAGAACCACCAGCTTTATTTTTAGTTTTCTGTTCTGTTTTTTGGTTTGTTCAGACGTCTTGGGTCAGTTCTGTGACCACGTTTCAGTCGAGCTGCTACCAAAATTTGTTCAGAAGTGAAACTGATCGCGCCACAAGTTTGTCTTAATCGAACTAAACTTGTCGCACGTAGACTGACTTGACTTGTTGGTCGTTATCCAACTGTTCGATTATTTCACACTTTTGAAGTACAACATTTGTTGTAGAAATTAACTAGCAGACATCTCAAATAAAAAGTCTATAATACATGATAATAAATGCTATTTGTCCTTTCTCTAATTGGTGGAAAGGACCTCATCAACGATTCATTCAGACTTATTCATGCTGATTTATGTCACATATCAGCTCATGTGATTTAGCTGTTTTTTTTTTTCCCCACCAACTTCACAAACTAAACAACTGTACCACATCTACACTTCTTTCCTACACTCAATGATTTGACCTTCTAATAATCTAAGTCATACGAAGTCAGAAAAATTTGCCAGTCTGGTTTTTTAAGTGACAACTGCTTCGTACCTCTGCGAGATCTTCAAAGCAGCTGCCCACCAGCGGATGAGGGCTGCCGTCGGCCGTCATCTCCACGGCGTCCTCGATCAGTCCGAGCAGCTTCACCGTCAGCTCGTGGATGTCCAGGATGTTGCTGAAGATCACCTCCACGTCCTGCAACGGCCAGAAAACATGGATGAGCGATGCAAACTGGTGTTTACAGTGCTGGCAGCGGGGTAAAGGATGAGGGCTGCTTCCTTTAAAAGTCACCCTTTTTGCCTTCTGCAGCTTTTAAGGTGTAACGTAAAGAATTGAGCTGCTTATTACGAACAAGCAGATTAACAACAACCAGATTATGAACTCTCATTCGGGTCTACACTCCCTCCCGCTCGACCAACAAAAGCCGCCTGATACAACCACCACAACAAGGCCAGAGGTCGATAGCTAGACTCTTCTCCTCTGTGGTTCCCCAGTGGTGGAACGAGCTACCAAACTCCACCAAAAGACTAAAGACCCAGCTCTTCACTGAACACCTTTGCACTTGACAGACTGAAAACAAACAACAATAAAATAAAATAAAATTTCCTTTTACCTCCCACACAGCCTGCTGTTGGCATCAACGTCCTGTCACACTTGAACTTGTTCTGTGGCACTTATCTAGATTGTTCTCTCCTGACTAGATCCTTGCTTGTGTTGTATCTGCTCTCAGATGTACGTCTCTTTGGACAAAAGCGTCTGCTAAATGAAACTGTACAATTGTAGATGACAGTGTGAAATCAGAGAACGAGAACGCTCCACGCAGGTGGTCAGTATTCAAAGTTTGGTGTCGTCTAGTTGGAGCGTTTGGACTGATATTCCAGCTAAACAACACAGCTGACTTATCTACATGTTTTAATTTCAGTTTCAGCTTTTGATTTAATTGTTTTGAAGGCGGTATGAACCACTGTTACTGGAAATCTTTCCTTTCATTCCACAACAACTGCGACCACAGGGATGCCTGAAGCCTTATTCATGTAGAAATCCCAGCTAGAGTTCCACATGACCAAATTACAAATGGTTCTGCTGTGGATATCTAGCCACGCTTTTCTTAATGGGTAATAGGAGAGATTTTGAAACTGTGGTGTGACTCTTCAGGGCTGTGCAGGAGACATGAAGTGAAGATGCTACGTGAGGTGACGTGGACAGGTGCATGCTGGTGTCGTCTGGCCTGCAAATTCGACCCAATTATCAACTCAGCCAGCAGCTGCGGCAGCATTAGAGGTCGTAACATGCTGGTTCTTCTGTTTCAAATCATCTGGGGCCTTTTGCTAAACCATCTCTGATATATGTGAAACTTTTCAATCATAAACTATAAATATTTAAAGTGGTATGTGTGACGTTTTTGCTTGATACATTAAGAGATAATCTGTTTCAAATACTGCACTTTCTACCCACTTTGAACAACAATATCTGATGAACTATTGAAGATAAAAGCCTGAAAATGTCACTGTTGTTTCTCATCACGTCATTGATTCAGAGTTTCAATAATGAAAATCAAATAATCTCAGGTGGTTTTAAGCATAAAAGACAAATTGAAGCCATCATCAGAAGCCCCATCTTTGACCACACACTAACAAAAAAACATGATAACACAGAAGTCAACCAGTAATACTTTCTGACTCATGTCTAGCTTCATGTCACATATGCATATTTTTTGATTCAATGAGCCCAAATAAATATCCACAAATCCACTCTGAAAGCATATAAAAACAACGCTCTGAATTACGGGTGCAGCGGGTCACAACAATCAAGGTTGAGATGATATCTGGACTTTTAAATCATAGATCGGATCATTTTTGGGATCAGAAGAAGTCACTGTTGCTGTAAAATGCACTTAGCATGTATTTTAAATATACTAATACTAATTTGTGTCTTATAAATCTAACTCTGCATTGATCTTTAGGGAAATATTCCTCACCGAGTATCGTTTCGCTCTTTCTTTGTAAGCAGGATTACGCAAAAACTACCTTGACAGAGGACTGCGCTCTCCAATTTCCTTCCCAAATTTGCAAATAATCCGCAGTTCACATGCCTGTCAAGCCGTGGGACACTCCTAATTATTAAATCTCTATTCCCAAAGTAATCTAACTGTCTTTACAACCATGAGTATGCTGATAACAGTCATTTCTGACAGCTACTTTGGCTTTCTTATAGTGGTGCGAGTGCCAAACTATTAAAAAAAAAAAAAGTTGGTGCAGATGTAGCTGTCTCAGTTTTGCGTGGGGGTAGACAGAGTGTCAGACAGCCTGTTTTTCTTAACATGATGTTTAAGAAATCCTCTTGCCAAAGAAAACTGACAACAATCAGGTTTTCTAAGTGCATGTAAACACAGTAAGTGTGTAGCAGGCTGCTGCTGCTGCTGCTGAAAGAGCTCCCATCCACGGCCAGCCTCTCTTGTATAAATAAATGTTTAAAAAATACGACAACAACAGGCTCAATTTGCCCGAGGAAATAATTAGCCAAGCAGATGAGGACCCTAAAATAGCGCGGAGTGATTATCGACTGCTCAAGTCTGAATAGAAGTTCAGCCCTGTCATTATTTGACCGTAACACTTTCTTGACATCTCCGAGTAATTTCAGATTATGCTGCGTTTCAACAGACATAATTGAGGTTGCTCTGGCGGGGGCTGCAGATGTTGTTCCTGTCTCAACATAATTACATGTTCTGCATTCCACTGGGCCTCACAAAGGTTTATCCTCCTCACCCAAATGATACCACAAATTACCCAACCCAAAATATGCAAAGCCACAGCGACCCATTAAACTCAACTTTCCACTCGGCGCTTCTCGATCCGTAGACGCGCTGTTCGATTCCTTACTTTATCGACGCTTTCCTCTCTTTTTTATTTGCAAAATCAGACAAGTTGTAATTAGTATTTTGCTTCGTTGGTTGACCCTCTGAGACAGATATGAGCGTCTATTTACTGGAGGAGTCAGAGAGCAGTGGTGATGGCACAAAACTGGAGCTTTGACCCTTTTTATTAGGCATGTTTGAAGAGGTGTGACCTTCTGCATACACAGTGATTTCTCTGACTGTGCAGTAATCTCGTAAAGTTAGTTCTGAGTGAGGAGGAACTTTAAACCGAGAAGCTTTTTTCACGGTGCATCGTATCAAAGCAGTGCTGAGCCGACTCAAAGGGAAAGAAACAAATACGCAGCGGTGAAGTTGCGTTTGCTCGACTCTGTAAAATCTGTTTGGGTTTTCCACACAGCTCCTGATTAGCAGTTAGCCGATTACAGAGTTTCAGCTGTAATCTTTAAATGATCTTACGCTGGATTTGGCTGAAATGGCTTTGATGGAAACTTGACTGTTTGTTTATGAGCTGGCTTTGGAGTAAACTGGCCACGGCTACTTATTCAGCACAAGAGGTGGAGAACCTGTCACCTTCTGGGGAAGTTACGGCGTGTTGTTGGTTTTCTTGTTCATGCGCTTCACTTTGGTAACACTGTGAAGCAGCCGTTGATTCATTCTTCTCTAATTAGTGAGGTCTCCACTTCCTCTTGTCATATATTACCAGAGTGATAAACAGAAGGTGTTATATAACCAGCACTGAGCGGCTGTATGAACTAAAACTTCATTCTTTGACGTTTACTGAACTGCACTCCTGACACGCTGAGTGACTACACAGCTTCTTCTTCTAAGACTCCCTCTAGATAAAAACAAGTTTTTTACCTTGTAACAAGCCCATATCGTGTTTTTATACGATAGACATTCATACATGAGCAAAATCAGCACTATGGCAAATGTTAATGACGATACAGTGTCCCAGAGCATGCATTCAGACTTTAGTGTTTCATATGACGCAAAACTGAGGAATCAATTTCGTCAGCTTGTAGCGCGGCTTTCCTTGTTGTTATTCTTCTTCAGGATCTGTTTCTGGTTCCTACTTGTATGGCAGAATTACTCCAATGTTACAACTTACCACTGTGTAGCATAGAATAGCTTTACTTCATTGATCTAGATCAAGCAGTGTGGCAGAGTCACATCTAAGACATTTAAAGCAGCAGTCCCCAACCACCGGGCTGTGGACCGGTACCGGGCTGTGGGTCATTTGGCACCGGGCCACACAGAAAGAAAAAAAAAAAAGTTGTATTGTTTTATTTTTATTTCCAGTGTAGTCTACAGGATGTTTTATTTTGAAAAATGACTAGCTCGTCTTCCTGTCACTTCCGTTTTCATGCCCGACCGTTAAACGAAGCCGTCAGTCTAATCGCTGCCGAAATGCATAAAAAAAAAACAAACGTCTCCGGAGAGCTTCTTTGGAAAGTGGGAGAGATTTGATACTGAGACAGAAGAAAAAGTAAACACATATTTAACAAGTCATTTTATTCGGTTGTGAAACTTTTTAATATAAAAAAACTATTATTTTTGTTATGTGTGCAATGACCGGTCCGTAGAAAAATTTATTGCGTAAAACCGATCCGTAGTGCAAAAAAGGTTGGGGATCGCTGATTTAAAGGGAAGAAGACCTTATTTTTCTTTTTTTTAAAAAGTGTAACTTTGGTGCACATTGATGTATTTTAATTAAAATTTCATTTACCAACAAAATGTTTAAAGTGTTTCAAAAAAGAAAAAGTTGATGCAGCCACCTTTTTTCTGAATTTGTTACCTTTTTTTCCTGTTGTAGCTGAAAATCTAAAACTTTTCAGACGGGCACTGGTGTCGTCACTGTTGTTTCTTTTTGGACTCATCATGCAGGTAAACAAGAAGACTGAAACAAAGCTTATTTTAGCAGCGTCTGTTCTGATTCAAACTTCTTAAGTGTGAATATTTTTAAATTCTTACCTCTTCTATGAAAGGAAATATCTTTGGGTTGAGAAATTTGAAGAAGTTATCTTGGTGTCTGAGAAACACCGATTCATATTTTTCATAATTATAACAGATGAGCAACTAACCGACCAATTCAGAAAACAATCAAGAGATTAAACGATTAGTTGAAGCCCTACAACTTGAACAAATTCTCTTTCCATTTATTAAGTGGATCCTACTGGGACAAATCACTTAATAATGATAAATAAGGAAAACCCACATATGGGTTTTGGTGTGGCGTCGCAGCAGAATGAACACAACGTAAAAAAAAATGTAAATATATGGAGATGATGGGGTTTATCATGCAATTAATGTAAATCTGGTGATGCTGGCTCAACTCTGTTTTTGTATGAGTAGCTGAATACTGTCCACAACACTGATGAGTGGTTGTAGTTGTTGGCAAAACCTCTTCTCAGAACATGGGAGTAAACGTGTGAAAACAGGGTGTAATAATTTGAGTCTATGTTGCATTTCAATATTGAGATCAAGGATTCTGCACAACACGTTTACATGAGTCTGAAATGATTCCTCCAAATAAACAACGCTGAAATGTTCACAGCTTTTGAATTTGAGGCCCCCCCTCACCTGAGCCGTGAAGATCTTTGGGTTGGACAGGAAGTGACGCCGGAACACTTTGATGATCAGGTCGAGCTCTCGCAGGTACTGCCGCTCCTCTGCGATTTCAAGCCTCACCAGGTCGTCGTACGTGAGCTCCCCGGAGGACGACGGCTCCTCTGGGCACTGCGACATCAGGCCGAAGTCCTCCTCCTGGTCAAACATGTCCATCAGCACCTGGAAACACGAGCGACAGCCAATCAGTCGGGAGTCCATCAGAAGCGTTTTCCTTCTTCCCCGTCGTCACGTTTGACAGCTCTCACCTTGTCTGCGCACATGGACACCTTGATGTCCTGCTGGCTGATGTCAAAGTGACGGATGTTGCCGACGTAGTTGCCCGCCAGTTTCAGTATATCTGCTGATATGTACTCAAGCACTGCCACGATGTACAGGGAAACATGGTAGTCCACTTTGTATCCCAAAACCTCCTGTTGGAAGAAAAAGCAGAACGTTTAGCGTCAGTCTGAACCTGCGTGACGACGGACCGCATCACTTCAGGCTAATTTAATTAACCCGAACCGAGCTGTCAAAACAGCAAGCTAAACTGGATTAACAAATATTTCCCGGCAGCTGTTTGCATCTGAAGATAGGGAGTAGTTAGACAGAGAGATGTGCTGTTCAGGAGTCTTTACCTTCAGCAATGGGTGTATCTTGTCCACGGGGAGAAGTAAGGGGTTTCGTCTCTTACGCTTCTCGATAGCCGACTGGGCGTCGGCGATCGCCCACTTATCGATGGGGTGGGGGAAAGTTTTCTGGACGCGTTCCTGGTGGGAGGGAAGAGGTAAAGTTATTTAGGAAGGCCAGAAGTCTTGTTAAATATTGTTGAGATTGCATTCATGGAGCACAGTCGTCTCTTCAGTGATCACATAACGCCAGTGTTGGCCTCTCTCCACTGGATTCCTGTACGTTTTAGGATTGATTTTAAGATTTGGTTGTTTGTTTAGAAAAGGTATTAAATGTCTTGACGCTTCCTTATTTAGCAAAACTGTTCCATTTTTATACCCAAGTTAGAGCACTGAGGTCAACCAAGCAGACGTTCTTAGATGTTTCAAGATCTCGACACACAAAAAAAACAAAACGATCACACCTTTGCAGTCGCTGCACTTGATCTGTGGACGACTTTCCCTCTTGATGTAACAACTGCTGAGACTTCAGAAACCTTTAGGTCACTGCTCTAGATGTGCCTCTTCTTTTTGATTTAATCTCTTACTGTGTTGTATCGTTTATGTTTTCTTTATTGTATTGTGTTTTTATCCATATTTATCTTTTATAGTCTACTGTGTTTATGTCTTTTCGGTTGCTATTTATAATTTTACAGCACTTTGGTTCACTCCTGTTGCTTAAGTGTTCTTTTTAAATACAAATTGACTTGACCATTGGAAAGAAATGCCATGAGGATAAGATAAGATACGATAAGATACGATAAAATAAGATAAGATAAGCCTGTATTATTCTCACGGTGGGGGAAATTTGCAGTATTACGGCAGCAAAGATATTGCAAACATTTAGGGAATGTTCTATAAATATCTTTATTGCACGTATCAGTGGTATTAAACTGATTTTTTGATGAATAGAAACACTGAGTCTTAATATTGCACAGATTATTTATATTGCACAGACTGTATGTGAGCAGAAAACTAACAATATCGTGTATTTTTATACAGCATATATTTCACACAATGACCATTAAGCACTGAGCAGGATCTGTTAAGGTGGACTTTTCCTCCATTTCCCATATCACCAGTTCAGATTTCTAACAGATACCAGGACAGTGTGAAGGCTTTACCTCGACATCCTGCACGGAGCGAGGCTGGGCCACACACAGCATGTTGAGCAGCTGCAGGATCAGCTCCTCGATGTGCTGGAGGGCATCCTCCTTCGCCGTCAGGTTTGGGTGGACCTGCTTCTGTACCTGAACGTTAGAGACAAAACGAGTCAGACACGACACAACGGTGGAAAAATCTCAATCTCACATGCAGTAAAACTGTTTTTTTGAGTTTATTTTAGGAGAGGAAGAAGAAGAAGAAAAAAAAAGGCCTCCTGCACTGCTGACATGATGTAAACTGAAACTGATTGTAACCATCTGGTATGATGCACCTCAGCCGGGCTCGCGCTTCATGACGTCAAGACTGCAAGTACAGACAATCACCGAACGAACATAAACGCCTTTTCTTGGTCTTCAAAGGGTTACACTGGTGTTTCTTTTTTTTTTTCTCCTACATTTCAACCCACTGACGGCAAATTATATGTGATTCTTGTCATAGCTGGTAATTTTCCAAAGTTTATCTTCAAATAAAAAGGTAAACCTCTAGTTTAGTCTCATTTGAAAACAATGGGAAAATGAAGCTGCAGAAATCACTTGCACAGAGGAATATTTCAGGAGTGCTTTTAAGGAAGCTCAGACATCACTCAGCGAGCAAACAACCTAATTCAAGAGACAGTGAAATAAAACAAAACACAAGTTCTTACTCCTGAGTTCACTGATCAGTTAGTTCTTATTTCTGTATTCCAATATATGTCGTGCTCTTTTCTCTTTCTGTAAGACGTTAATTGTGTTTGAGGACTCCTAAAATCCTACATTCTGTGATTCACTTCCTTATTTATCCATTTATAAAACCACTCATTCGATTGTAGAGGCCAGCAGAGTGATATTACAGCAAGAGGTGTGTGTTCAGATGACATCATGCAAGAACCTTGAGCATATTTCCAAAAAATGTGGTTGAACTTCAATCTATTAATTTCCCCCTTCAATTCTGGAGGGATGAATGAATGCAAGTCGTCCTGTACAGCTCTGTACTACACTGTATGTGCTAAGAAACACTCACATTACATTTCACTGGGAAATACTAAGGAAGACAGACACTTTGACTGTGCTTTAGTGTCACTACTGAGCAAAAAAGGGGGGGAAAAAAAATCATTATCCATTTCACCTTTTCGACATTGTAAATACTAGATTTGACTTTGTGAGTGGGATGCAAGGTG